TAAAAATTATTTTCTATTTATTTTGGGGGAACCGCGTGGGGGGTGCCCATAAAAAAAACAAATCACTTGCCAACAATTTAACACAAACGCGTTTTTTTAAGAAGAGTGGGATCCGGCCGGGGGGGGGGGGGGGGGGGTATCTTTTCTCAGTGTCGGGTGCTATGATCATTGTACGCTGCCATGTAAAAGATTATTCATGGGGGATATTTCATCACTGCTTTGACCACTGTGACCATGACAAACAGCATTCCTTCTCTCTCTTGACGATAAAAACTTTAATTTTTAATTTTGTCTTCCAAATGGATGGATGGGTGAATCGATCGATTCATCTCACTATTGCTGGTTTGCACGTGACGTCACGGCGATCACGTTAGATGTCAAGAACAAAACCATTTCTCTCCTCTGGGAACTTAACTCTGTTTTCATGTAAATTCTTCCAGAAAAAATTATGTTGTATTGTCATCCAACATGGCCGCCTTGTCACGTGGTTGCAAACCAAGAATTTACTTCATATGGTGTCGAAACGCTCTGATATTCAAGGCATATTAAAACACAATGGAGCTTTTCTCATTTAATGGGATGTGTATAAAATGACCGGGTATCCTGCATTTTAGTTACTAACCTTTCAGCAGTATGGACTGTCAAGGCAAGAAGTTTTTAAAGGGCTGCAGGTAAAGACAAAGGACAAAGTCAAGACATTTCCAGTTCACTGAGGATGAAATCGAAAGAAGCGATCTACAATAGGAAGTACTTCAGGAAAAGAGTGGTCTTGGAAACTAATTCATAAGATTACCGAGTTGGACTGGACTGGACTCAACTGGACTAGGACTTGACTAGGACTTGACTGAACTCAAACAGGAAGACTGAAAGGAATACAAAAACACCAAAACACCGTTCCCAGGTTACGTGTGGAAATGTGTGTCCATAAATTGCGCGGCGTGGAATTTAGCAAGATTTAGGAGTTAATAATTCGATTGCATTGCCTATACCGAATTTTTTTTTACCTAAACAACGTTTTACTAGGTCATTTTGTAATGATTCATTTATTCAAGCCACCTGCAATCATGATTATTATTTTTATAGTTTCTTTCCAAGAAAAATAAGGGACTGGAACTCTCTGCCAACTGGCATATGTACTAGTACAAATTTTTCATTATTTAAAGATCACTGTTTCTCAGCTAGTATAAATAATTGATCGCTGTTATTTATCTTTTTTATCATTATTTATCTTATTTATTTGTATATATATAGTTTATATTTATTAAGAAATAATCATTTAAAATTGTAATATATTACTATATATAATTTACAAGAGTTTTTTTATTATTATTTTATTAGTCATTCAAAATATTTTCCCAATTCTGATAGGCTAAAACCACGCGCATAATTCACCACAACGACTTACTGATGACCAAATTTGGAAGAATTTTGTGTTTAACGAGGAAATGACGTCAAAAATGGAGCCTTCTACACAAGAATGTACGCTTGGTGTCCGCCAATGACGTCTGGAGCATTTTGCGTTTCCAGGCAACATAGACCTTGCCGCCGATATGACCAAGGCGCATTTTCATGTATTGGTTATGAAACAGGGGCACCCAGCTACTTTTTTCTGTAAAATAACTATTCGAAGGAGCAAATATTGCCTAGAAATTTCTAAAGCTTGAGAAAAGCTCAAAATTTGTGGATAACCGTTCCATTCGTCTCAAATGTTCGGAGGTTTTCTAATAGCTTAACTACGACTTTCGGAGGTTGTGTTACTCACATTTTGATAGCAAGATATTGCGATTATTGCTAAAAAGGTCTCCTAAAAATTTCGGTATGAAAGCAAAGCAACTTCATGTCCTCAGTCTTTCGACCGGACCCATAAGGGTAGCTAACACTTTCGAATGAGACGAAAAAGCCACCTAACAGAGACTTTCGTGACAACCAAAGTTCTCCTAAGACATCCGAACAGATAAATAGTTTTTAGGGCAACTCCAAATTAACCAAACAGGTTTCTAAAGCACAGAGAAAACCATTTGAGACACTTCTGCCGTATTTGGGAACATTTGGCAGGGGCACCCAACGTCAATTTTTGGAAAATATCTGTTCGGAAGATGATTTGAGATCTAGAATTTTCGGAACATTTGTTGTAAAATTTCTTGCTTGCCTGCCTCTCCTAGTATTTTCGAACATCTAAAAAATGGTATAATTGCCCAGTTTTAAAGGATTTTTACACTAAAAAGGTCACCTAGAATTGTCGGGAGCCTCTTTTCTGGCTGAAATTTTCGAAAAGGTAAGTTTTGATCCCTATAATTTTCGGATCACTGGACTTTCAGCTAGGAAATCCGAACAGATGAAAAATTTTTAGGGGATAAAAGTATGCCTATATATACCGTTTAATATTAAAATACGTTCAACAATGTTATGTTTCAGTGGTTTTAAACTATATTCTCGTCGGGTACCCCTGACGAAACGCTTTTGTGTTTATTCATCGTCTGTGAAACAATGTTGTACTATCGGTGAATCACGAACAATTTCCCATGCAAAGGACACACAAGCACAACAAATGGCTCCAAATCCTCGTCCAGGACGGTTTTCCAGAGAACCTCCTCAGGAGTGAGAACGCCGACTTAAAATTCAGCGTGAACAACGAAGGAGAAGACGTCAACAACAAACCGCGGAGCAGAGAGAACGTCGCTTCGCACAGAGAAGGCAACGCCGAGAACAGGAGACAGGGGAACAGAGGAACGGAAGACTGGAATAGCAGAGGCATTATGATCGTTTTACATTGTGGAAAACCCACATTTATTAGTTTGCCGGTTTCCCCGCCGATATATAGATCAAAGTCTGCAAAGTTTCAGCTCTGCACTACGGCCCGAAGTATAATAATTTTCATGCGAACTGCACTGCCATATTTGAACTTTGATTTTGTTTTTTTCTACATTCGGAGGCCGAAATAATGCTAAATGTGCTCTTCAATACACGTTTAAAAATAACACCACACAATACGCAAAAAAGAAGAAGAAGAAAAGAAAGAACAACGTATGGACCTTCACAACGATATTCGCTGTAGGTCACCCATCCAGTTCTTAACCCGGACCGACACAGCTTAACTTGAGTGCCGCTACCAAACCGAGTTTCGCGAGGGTTATTGCTAGATAGCTATTTCGAGTTAAAATATTCTTTAATTTGTGACCAACTGATTGGAAAATGAAATCTTGAGTATATTAGAAGCATACTTTTATTTAGCAGTTTAAGCATTAAACTTTTTATAGGCATGAAGTTGTTTTGAAAACTTAGTGGTTTAAACTGATGCCATAAAATAGATCGTATTGCAGATACCTAGAAAATTTTATACAAAGCGACTTCTTCCAGGTGCATGGGGGTGGACCATGATCATAATCACGTGTCAAGTGTTCATATGGTCACGATATGGTCAACGTACGCCGCTGAGTATAAGATTCATGCGGGGATTCATGGAGGGTATTTCATCAATACTTTCACCACCAATGTGGCGTTAAAAAAAAAAACGGTATTCCTTCTCTCTACTGACGTTAGAAACTTATTCAACTTGCCCCCATCGTTTTGTCCTTCAAAATGGTCAAAATGGATGGGGAATCGACCGATTCATCTCACTATTTCCTTCACACTGCCGGAACACTATGAAAATCGAGGCATAACCCAATCGAACGAGATGTAAACGAAATGGCCGAGTAATCAGTATTCTGCATTTCAGTTACTAACCTTTCAGCAGTATGGATCGTCGAGGTAAGAAGTTTTAAAGCGCTGCACAACAAGACATTTCCAGTTCGCTGACGATGAAATCGAAAGAAGCGATCGAAATTGGGAAGTACAGAAAGAGAGAGACCCTGGAAACTAACTGTTAAGAATGTGGACTGGACTAAAGAATTGTCACAGTAGACTGCTTGCAGTCCTCCTTTCTCGTAAAATCCATCTAGTTCTTATCTCAGCCAGCGCGACTACAAACCACGATGTTATGTTACAGTAAGGGATTAGGACCAGACGAGAAAGGGCGCTCTCCTATTTTTTCTTCTCGGGCTTATGCCCTCGTTTATCGCGGCTCGCCTGCTTGGGTTTCGTGTGAAATAACTTTGCAAAGAAAAATAAGAGACTGTTCGCAGTCTAAATAAAACGACACTCACACAAGAACACGCATACAAAAAACAGCCTCCAAATTAGCCCCCTGCGACGAAATCATACCAGATATTTTTTTAGGGAATTATTTTAAGCTAATCCATTCTAGCCCAGAGTAAATCCGCAGAATCCGAGCAACCGACGTTGAGGTCGACACGACGACGGGACCCGGCAGCACTAGAACATGGAATCCTAAATCCGGAAACGAAAACGGAATCACGGAATCGTTGAAACGAAAACAGAAACGGAAACGGCATACGGAATCCGTGAAAGAGGGTTCCAAAATTCCGAAAAAAAGCCCCGGGGCTTATATTTTTCAAAGGCCCTTTTTGAGGGGCTTATTTTTGGAGGGGCTTATATTCCGAGGGGCTTATATATGGAGGGAAATTTGCGTCTCAAAATCGATTGGACTAGCCTTATAGTTGGAAGCAAATTTACCATTTTTTCTTTGTTTTACTTTGTATTTGAGGGCAATTTCCAAGTACAAGCCCCCGCGGGGCTTATATTTGGAGGAGCGATTTAACGGAGGGTTTTTTGCGTTAAGAGTTTGGGGGGCTTATATTTGGAGGGGCTTATACATGGAGGGGCTTATTTTCGGAATTTTACGGTATGTTAGTAATGACAATAAAATAAATAAACAGATATATAAAAAAAATACATAAATGAATAAATTAGCTGAGTAGAGGAGACTGCTGTATCACTAGAGGAGTCGATTCCGGTGAAAAGACTCTTGATACCACTTCCGGCAATAAATGCAAATTCTTATGGGACAGCAAATAAAAAGGAGACAAACGTCAATGACAAAATCTAGTTCCTTAAGAAAAAGGTAAGTTATATGGAGACAGACTTCGTTTCGCGTCGCCGTCAAGTTTTTCGTGAGTGTCTTTTCTGGGTTGTCTTCAACAGTGTTCAGTTTTATTTATCAAGACAGCTTACTGAAGAGAACCATGGCATTGTGGAGTTCAAAGAGAAGAGAGAATTGTGCATTCATTTGCTTGATTCTGCAACTGAGTACATCAAAATAATGAGCCATGTTTACTAAGCCTTTTTAACAAAGATACAGACGTTAACGTAAACTCAATTACAGGTACACCAGTGTTCCATCAGTATTCAGCTTGGCGAAAAAGTTGAACTTATTGCTAAAACACCGGAATTCGAACTGTGGTCACGTCACGGGTCGGTCAGGTATCGAGTATTCAGTTTCGGGACAATCACGTGGTGTGGTCTGAGGCCAACTACTTCTATTCTTGACATTTAGCTACAAAGGTAATATTTAACTGTATTATTCAAACCATAAACCCGTGAATAAAAATGACTCGTAAAACTACTTTCATCGGCCTTGGAGTGCATTAACTCACAATACGATAAACCTTATCAAGACACAAAAACAACAATATATTTAAGGGTACTGCCAAGAAAACTAAAGCAAATTCTCTTTGGATTGTACTAAATTATGCAATGTGAAATCTTTTAATTTTCTATCATTGATATTTGATTCCGTATTCCGTTTCTGTTTCCATGATTCCGTTTCCGTTTTCGGATTCCGGATTCCTAATTTTAGTGCTGCCGCGACGGGACCTGGTAACTCTTTCCCAGCTCCCCCATTTCTAATGGCGAGGGAAAAACAATACGTATACATGGCCATTTTATCGGGGACCCATTTATCGAAACTTTGTTCGATCTTGAATGCTACCTACATTATTCATTAATTCAGCTGGCAAAACAAAAATTCCTGGTGTTGTGAGCGGGATAATTCTTCAGAGCGTAAGTTTTGTTAATTTGCACTTTCACAGACAGCGGTTAGGGCTATTTGCTTCAGATTACAAAAATATATGTGAATGATTTATCGCGTGATGATCAAATGGTGTAAAAGCAGTTTCCAGACTTAAATAATCCTCCTTCTATGTTTTGGAAAATACTAGCCATAACAACATGGAGGAACAAGTATCTGAGGCAAAAGAGATGTTGTCATCCAAAGACTTACAGCAAAAAGAAGAAGCAGTGAAAATTTTAATTGCAATCTCAAGGCAGGGAAGGAACAAGGAGGCTACAGATCTTTTAGCTAAATGCCTGGAAGAGAGCCAGGGAATCACACCAGAGACTGAAGATGATATCAAGTGGTGTGTGAAGATTGCAGAAGAGGAAAAAAGACTTAGATATGCGATTGAACAGCTTTATAATTCTGTGAAGAAAGATGGCAAAGACAAAGTGGCTATACAGGATATTGATGAAGCTATGAAAAAAGGAAAGGAAAAACAGAAGGTTGGTTACAATTAAATGGCATCACCAAGAATGCACCTATTGCTATTGGTGAAATGTCTAGTCAAATCATGCCTGTGCACCGCCACTTGACCATGGCTAGGGCACTAAAAGGAAATGATATCCCAATTTTTGGTAGCCTCCCATGCAGAAATTCTTGGGGGTTTGTCATGCATTCCTGGGAACGCGTGACAAACCCCTAAGAACATCTGCATGGGAGGCTAACTTTTTGGATCATATGCAGGGCTGTCAACCTCTCACATCCTCAAATATTGAGAATTGACGTGGAAGGGATGATAGGTGACATCATAATGCATGGCAGGTGAGGTCATTTGTGAAAAAAAAAAGTGCAAAAAACATGTTGTTGGAATTGTAACATTTGACCTAGCTAATTGGTTTACTTCCCACCAATCACATTATTGCTTATATTACAATGGCATACCTGAGTTTGTGAGGAAACGTTCCATGTTACCAGTAAGACAGCTGAAACAACGCAAAATATTTGAAATTTCATTGTCAGAAAGTCGAATATACAAATGGCAAATGGTGGTGATTATACGGGAGATTTCAGACTCTAATCAGGGAGAAACGGTTCAAAATCTGGAGTCTCCCAGATTATCCGGGAGAGTTGAAAGCCCTTTGTATGAGGATCATTATTTAGTATATAGTATCCTGCCACTTGCAGTCAGTTTGGCGTGTCAGGAGGAATTGGTGGGCACCTGTACCCACTGTTCAGTCAGGGTTTTAAAACCTTAATTGATACCCATGCACATAACAGCTCACCGTAAAAAATCCTTGCTACAGGTCCATGAGCAACAGCTTGACAAATTTGTCAATATACATGGTGGTGAAAATAATTAAAATTAAATGAAAGGACATAGATCTGACTAAGGAGAAACATGTAGACACAACTTTTGCAGTTGCAAAAAAAAAAAAAATTTAATACTCTTTGAGAAATTTTAAATTTGTACACTTTTAATAGACCCTAGCTCCTAAGACAATGACCCTAAAATTAATGCATGTTTAGCATCCAGGGCGAGGTTGTTCAAAGCTGGGTTAAAAGATAAACCAGGGTTAGTGTGAAATTTTTATCCAGATATGAAAGCTTTAAAGACAAATTCAGTTTAATTCTTTTTGTCTTCAAATTGATGATTGGCTACTCTGAAAAAATAGAGAAAATTATGTGAGAAAATACTTTCAGGAAAAAGGAAAAGAAATTCAGATAATTTCAATTGAACATCAAGTTTGTGCTAATCAGCCTTTAAACGACTAGGTCCAGTATGATTATTGTTTATTTAATGAAAAGGAAACAGACAGCCAAGAAGCAAATAACAGTCCTGAAAAGGAGAATAAAGAAATGAGTGAGGAAGTTGGACTGATGAGCTTGCTGATCAATGCTTTGACTGTTGGCGAAAAAGATGAGTTCACTCTGGCTGAACTAAAGGACACAGTGATGGCATATGCCAGAGGGGAAGTCCCTGAAGTAGTAACGTTGCTGAGTAAGGAAGACATGGATAAATTCAATAAGGCCTCCGTACTGGAAAAGGTACTGCACTGTGTACTAAGTTAAAACTGTCTACTAAGTTGAAAAAAGAAAAAGGTTGCAGTATTCAATCTGTTCACTCTTTTTAAGCTATAAAACTGGGTTACAATTTTAAAACTAGGCTCAGGTATAAAATGTGCATATTTCTTTTGGTGCTCCCTAAAATAAAAACGCCATTTATTTAGGCCTCCTTCCAACCCCCCTCCTTCCCCATCTCAAGATGCTACTGGGTCCTTCCCTTACAAGACCCCATCAAGAAGAATTTTGTCTACCATCTGGATTTGATCTGCGGCTCTGTTTTGGTTCCTTTCAAACCTGCATTATAATTATGCATGTACTTTTTTCGCGAAAGAAAGATGACCATCACAGTATCTACAGTGTATGAACTTTTCTTAAATAACAATAAATTATTTGTTAAGAAAAAAAAGGAAAAAAATCATTATGAAAGTTAATATGTGATGAAATTTCTAGAGAGCTGGCACAACAGCTTTATTTGTATTATTTGAAGAAAAGATTTGCAGCAAAGCCAGTTGGTACAGCAATCATGCCAATAGCTACTCCCTTCATCCAATTAAAGGGAATCATAAAATAGGCAAATTAAAAATGAGTAATTAGCACATTGGAACCATGGTGTGGTCAACCTTACAGGTTTGGTAGATAAATAAGGGATTTTATATCACCTCACTTGACATGTTATCAAGAGTTGGCTGTGCTGATGACAGTAAAATTAAATGAATAAAAAACATACACTGATTTATGTCATCAACTAGGGAGGTGCTGACATTTGATGTCAAGAAGAAATGTTGTTGATGTTGTGGTTCAATTTTTTAATCCGTGGTTTAATTTTTGTTGATCAAACTCATTACCATACATTACCACACCCAAAAAATAAAATAAAATAAATTTAAACTAAGGAGAAAATTGAACCACAAAATCTACCTGACTGTGTTTATTTGAGCTTGGACTTTGACTTTAGGGGATTGATGAAGTTAATCATTGTTTGGAGAACCGCCCGCATATGAGCTATCAATACCTCTCTAAAATGTCCTGACATGCACTATATGAATTTTGATTTGTTGCCAAACTTGATTTAGATGTTTTCTTTTGTATAGCCAGGTCATGAAATATCCAGATCAGTCCCTGGAATCTGCAAAGCACTTCATCCTTGTAAAGATTTCTAAGAAAGGATCCACCTTCTTGAAGTCCTTGATTCCAACCTCCCAAATCCAAATGCTAGTTTTACTGTATGTTTACAGCCAACTGACTACAGTCTTCCTCTGGTTTATAATTCCCTTGATTATTTTCTACATCTGCTTTTTGTCACTGGTCGTGTTTTCTCTCCAAATGTTTTATGGAAGGGAAGCCTTGAGACAACTGAGAAGTGTGTCAGAGCTAATGAAAAAGTATGTAATCTGTTTATTAATTTTTGCTTATGGCAATAGGTGGGTGTACTCCTTGAAAATTTGGTGGGGTTGTGCAGCATGTGCTCTGAAACTCTAACCCTAGTCAAATTAAAATCTTTGATTTTGCCTGCAGAATTGTGGACCTCAGAACAGCTCTCTTTAGTAGGTTAATTGAAAAAAAGAGAAATTCAATCCTAGACCTTACCCTACTTGATTTAAAATTTTAGACCAAAAGGGCGCAAAAACTGTACCCTATGGGGGTGCATATTCCTACAAAGCTTAAGGGAGTACCCCCCCGCCCCGCCTTTCTGAGATAGTAATGCATAATGGTTTAGGCCACCCAAGGCTTAAGCCCAGCTATATAGTCAGTAACAGAATGGTTTTGGTAGCCGTGGAAGTCAATAGCTATTTTGGGATGAAGTATAAAAAATAAATAAATAAAAATTTAAATTTAAGTCTTTTCATCCTTGTCTCTTTTTTTAATACAAATGAGGGAAGTGCGTATGAGCTGCACGCGGAGGAGATGGGAAGAAAGAAATACGGGAGAAGGGTAGTCTCTCCTTTCTCTCTTGGTCTGCAAGTCTCCCGTGACCGCATGCAAACGATATTGAAGAGATGACTTAGGATGAATCAGGTGGTCTGTGGAGCGTCAAGTCGCAAGTTTGATACCAAGCAGCGGACCAATAGTTAGGGTCATTAAACTAGCAGTAATTAGGGATTGGTGAGTGAGTTCGAATGTTGTAGATAGAATAACGCACTTTCTGTACGCGTCAGAGTAGTAAACAAGTTCTTGGTCAAACTTCGTTCTATTAGACCTACGAAATCTTAAAAAGACATTGCATTTACTTCCAAAAATTATTGAGTTTAAACAATGAACAGTGCAGACAAAGGAAACGAGCAAAGCTGCACGTGGAAGAAAAGACATGCGCGCTCCTTGCCCATGGAGTCTATGACGTATTTCCGGTACCTGAACGAACCAAAGAATCGAGATTCTTTCTGCTAAATGCTTGTGCCCAGGCGTCTTGCGTTCAGTTTATGTTGCGTTCTCCTGGCGTTGAACGCAATGAATTGTCTTTGCTTTGGTTGGACTACCACTTAGAATCTGTGGCCCAGTCCCCATTGGGGAACCTAAAAACAGTCCTTTGTGCTATGTAACTTGTTGACTGCGTGTTTGGAGAGCGCTTTTCCTTAGCTTATGCAGTTATAGACCACTCCATCTAATGATTCCATATGGTTACTAGTTTCTTCTTTCAGAGGACTACCGGATAAATACGATGACTATGCACTGTACACAATTCTCCTCAAACTGCTAACCACCGGACTGTGTCGTTTGGGGAATGTGCGAGGACTGGCCTTCCTGTGCTACCCAATTTTTGTTGGTAAGGTAAAGTCATATCTCTGCAAAATTTTTATTGTTTTTCAATACTTTTACTTTATGGAAACACGAAAAGTGTTAATCCTATATTTACTGCGAAAAATCTTCGTTACGTGAATTGCAAAGTTCATCCCTCTGTGTCTGAATCTTCTAAAGCAGACACCAAGACCAAACATTTGGGCCATGTGCGGACTGGAAAAAAATGAAGTTCTGGTTAGCAAGAAAAAGGGGCGAGAATGCGGGATATGGCGATCCCCCTTTCCATACCCTAATTAAAAAGCTTAGTTCCGTCAATTCATTTGATAAAGTTAAGGGGTTCAAGTGCCAACGTCTCTAAAGTTAGCCCTCCACCAGAGCCAATTCACGAATTCGTGTCCTCGGAAAGTCAATTGTTTGTAATTGTAATTGTAATTTTTTTACCAATGAAACCCAACTAGAAGTTCCTAACAACTCGTTTAAACGTGTCCGCTCGTTCCAAATCAAATTGTTATAAGTGTATTGGAAGTGTTATATTTGGAAATGCATTTGAGGAGAGGAGAAAACCGGAGTTTCTAGTCAAAAACCCCTCGGAACAAAGAAGAGAACAAAAAACAAACTTAACCCACATATGGCGACGACGCCAGGATTTGAACCCAGGCCACATTGGTGGGAGGCCAGTGCCCTCAAGCGCTCCCAGAGCTACCTTCATTACTTGCATGAACTTTGTAATCTTCTTTTTTTTTTTCTCCGCAGTGCCCCTTCACTATGGACTGGAATTTGACATCAGTCTTCCATCGATTCTCCAAGTGGTAATTTTCGTCCTGCTTCTCATTATGGCGGGCCGTCACTCTTGGCGTGGAATGTATAAAGTACTTATTCCTTATTTGGTGTGTCTGCTATGGTGGCAGCTTTTTACCGAACTGTTTCACTTCACGACCTGGAGCAGCTTGCTCCGCGCCACCCTGGGGTGGGTAATTTTTGTGACCACGCTACCTTTACTGATTCTGTTCACTGTTGGCCTGTCTGTGACGTATTTCGTGCAGTGGTTTATGACGCTGGATTTGGCATTCAAGGTTGCGGTCTCAGCTGGAGTTGTAGCGTGTTCATCGGCTGTGTTTTACTACTCCAAGCTAGAGATTCCTCATGGAGAGAAACTCGAGCCCAAGAAAAAACTAATCATAATCTTGACGGGTTCGGTGGTTGTTAGCCTTTTGCTTCCCGTTGTTTACATCAATTTTGTCCCTTCGATATATGGTTCACCCAAAGCACTATTATGGAAGGAGTACTACAATTCCTGTGTCAGTGTGACTAACGGGGGTGAAGTCAATATCGCAGCAGTGCAGATAAGATGCAATGAATTTCAAGGCGAGTCTGTCAACTGGACCGGAATTGTAGCTGATGTTAAGTTGAGCTCTGTAGAAAATCGCTTTCGTCCCTTGGTCACTTACCTCCCCCGGTTTTTGCAGCCTTCTCTGAAATGCCTTCTTGGAGAAGAGGAGAATAGAGGTGGAGAGAGGTATGAGGACAAATTTAAAATTTATATGTATACAGATTTGGTTCCCAGGATCTTTCAAAGAAACTTTGCTCTTTCGTTCCCTTTCAAGAGCTGTTCTAGAGTAAGCAGTGAATCGGTATTGTGAATTGCATATGGTAAGCAGCAGTTGTTTCCTAATAATACGAATGAAATTAATAGATCAACGTACTCGTATAAGAGAAAATCGTTACTTTTTTGGTAGTAACCATTACACCATTCGCTAGACCTGCCTGATAAAGGAAATTCTGCGCTATTGTGTATCCAGAATTGTTCGATTATGGGGCGAGTTTAAACTCAGTTGATCAGGTCACACGATAGCTTTGAATCTTATAATAGCAAAAATATTTGTTCAAGTTCTTTAACAGAAACACATGATATAGAAAAACAAGAAAGAAAAAATAATGGCCTTAACGTATTGCTGTCGAGGTTGGCAACTGGAGGTAGAACAACCATGGCAGTTCCCTCGCGTTTGTTAAAGTCTAGTTCAGGAGAACCATAAAAAGTGACTTTATTACCTTCTTTCAGGTTCACGGAAGCACGCTGGTGGTTGCCAAAGGCTAAAGGACCGTGCCATTTAAGAACGTATGACAGGTACACCTTTTCTGTTGGGGTAAAGATGACTACTGATGCAGCAGCACACAGTACGAGGAAGTAGTTAGAGTGACTGTCACACACCGATTCTACCATACCATGGTCACATTACAAAAGAATACACAGGTTTAATATAATTAGGGCTTGTCTTATTTTTACATGGTTGCCACAGGTCAGTAAATGGTCAGGGAAAAAATTTCAAGGTCAGAGAAAAGTCAGGAACTTCACCTCGAGCTAGCGAAAAATTTAAATCTTTGAAAGAACCCAGGGAACAGCGAAATTTTAAGAGTACATATGTATTTTTGCCGTCTATTTTTACGGTGTAAAATTCTTTTTACATTTTACGGTCATGAATCATGTTGTATTGGTAGAATATTGTTCGTGAAATTGAACGACAAGCTGATGTTTGGAATTTCAAGAAAATCAATTCTTTTTGCACGTTATGGTTTAGAACTATCAATTCATGTACACTGCAAGTGACTTGCTGAAATCAAGTCGCTTGACCTGATGTTTTTGAAGGGTCATGTAGGGCATTTTCATGTGATGTCACAGCAGACATGGTGTTCCAAAACAATGAAAAGGAGGCCATGTTGGTGTTCCAAGCGAATCCTGAGGAAGCTTTTTTTTGTTAACGCTTTCTTTTGTTGCAATTAATTTGCATAGATGCTGGTCATGTGGGTAAAAATGCTCTAAATCACTCCATATTTCCAAAAAGTGTTACACAGGCATTTTCAGAAAGGAAATTGCTTTTTAAGAGCCTTATCGAAAAGAGAGGATCCATGGCCCTCCATGTTATCGGATGGAACGTTGGGGTGCTCTGCTTCTAAGCTATGTAGTTGACTGACCGATGGTGAAAGAGGGTAAAATTCGATATTATATTGACAATATTTCACATAGAGTGACCCTAAGCCCATTAAACAACGCCCCCAAGCGAAGAGTTACCTTATACATGGCACTCAAATTTTATTTTGATAGTCGGTTTGAATTCACTGTAATGAAATCCCGTTTTTGTTAAATAATTCAGTGTCTCTTCTATGTAGTAGGTTCGTTTCTGATTCTCCGTTACCAACCAACGTTACTTTCTATATCACAGATCACGTTCCAAGGCCGCTTGGCGAGTGGGCCGCCTTACGTGACCGTCACGGCCAAGAGGCTCTTTATCAACGGCACCAAGGTCAAACCACGTATTGGGCTTGGGCGTGACGACATATTTGAAGGTTTGCGTGACTCTGGTCTATTCATAACCCGGTTTTTTATGACGCCCTTGATTAACGAAAGAGACTATGATGAAGATGATGTGTGAATTATGACAGAGCGGGGCTTTTTTTTCCATACAGTAGTTACAGGCTTCTCTTGGAAAAGCAAAGGGGCAGTTGGTGTGGAATTGTGTATTGTAAAGAACGATCATTTTCTAGTAATAAAGAGAACGGGATTAGTGTTTGGAATATAATTTACGGCAGGTAATGAATATTTAAGTGAGGGTTTCAATATGGGAAACGGTTACGTCAAAAATGCAAACAAGCTAGTTTAAGATGTTTTATGTTTGTAAAACATGGAGATTTAGAGCAGTAACAGCTTTGTCCAAGATAAGGATATCCGTGAATATGTGACAAATCATAGTTTACTTGCTCGTGTTTACTACACAGCGAAGTTCATGATGAAAACGTGTTTCTGTTTTAGAAACCGCTAGAAACGATTGTGAACAGCAGAGACATGAATGGAAATTAAGCGAGCAGGCCTAATCGTAAGTTGAGGGGCCTTTTACACCGCTGATAAATATGGATATGGAGCATTGTTGAGGCAATAAATCGTATGCACGAACAGCTTTTTAAGTTTAGCAGAAACTAGCCAGCACAGAGGCCAACGGCAATAAAGTGAGTCATATCAAATTGGTAAAATGTTAGTTTGTGCTTATAAAGCTTTCAACTCTGATTAAAGTAACCTATACCAGATTCGTGTTACCTTGACTGATGGTGAACTCACTGGATAATATCTTTAGTGGTCTTATGAATTCATTGCAATGGTATGTCTATAACAAGATGGGGGGTTCAAAGGTCGATTCTATTGGCTGGTTTCTAGAATAAGAAGGTGTTCATCGATTGGTTCATTTCAGAGCAAAAATAGCCTCAACAGCAGCCGAGATCCGCCCTTGCCTCAAGTTCCTTGTGAGATTTGATTGCCAGATCTTCGTCATGTCGTGCAGGGCTATCGTTGCTAGGGCTTTACGAATTTTGAGATCAGTATCTGTGCTTTGCATTCTAGGTCCGAGGCTCTTGCCCTTCACTGACGAAGTCCCGCACAGCTCGTTCAGATCGTGGAGGCCATTCGGATTGAACATTATGTTTTATATTTTATTTGTAATTTTGATGTGAACGTACACACGCAGATATAATGGGCTTAGTGTTTACGTACTATACTACTTCACTAAGTGAAGCCCCGTTCAGCTTGGTTAGATCGTGGTGGTCATTTAGACCGTACGATATGTTTTATATTTTATTGCAATTTAGATACCAATGTACACACGCAGACATGATGGGCTTAATTTTTATCTGCTATGCTACTTAACTGAGTGAAGCCCCACACAGCTTGTTCAGATCTTGGAGGCCGTTCGAATTAGCCTTTATATATTATCTTCTATTGTAATAGACCCTTCCACGATTTTTTCAACTTTTGACTGCCGCCGAATTTTACAGACGTTTGTATGGTGGGGGTTAAATTCGTCCCTCCCCCCACCATACAAACCTCTGTAAAATGACGCGACCTTGTGGAGTAATATCTTACCTCGCTTTTAACGTATCATCTTTAAACGTGATAGGTTTTCTAATTTTAAGGCGCTTTTTCCAGCGTTGTCAATAAATATTCACTTACTGGTCTTTGTAAAAACTTGAAAAAAAACGTCAGAGAGTCTATTTAGATGCCAAAGTACATATGAAGACATAATAGACTTAATCTTTACCTACTACACTACTTTACGTAGAGTAAATTGAGTAGCAGTTGCTGGATCTATGCCTTCAAGTTAGTCAGGGGCCCGACCACCCAGACTCCGAGTGACGGGGGCTTCGGGCGAACTCATTAAGACTTTTGCTTAGCCCCGCGGCGCTTGATTTGACTTATACACAAGAAGGGGGCCGGGACGCCTTTCTTAGACCCACCACTAGATAGTAAACAAGCAGATTTTACTAAAACAATTATTCCTCTCTCCCTCATGGCGTCTGAGTCAATAGCCCATTCGGCGTTCGACCTCGTGGGCTACTAACTCGGAGCCCATTCGGGCTCGAGGAATAATTGTTAATTAATTCTACTGAATATTGTATGCTTATTAATTATACTCTGCAAGGTAATTCCGTGCCGAATTCCGGACTGGACCAATTGGGCCAACTTGCAATACAGAATTTATCTTTGTCATCCTTTTATATTCTCTTAATGAAGAAAGGGTCATAAAAACTATTAGTGTTCTTCAAAGACTGCCAAGCTGTAGTTGTAGTTTGATGTACGAGTCAATGAAATCTGTGTAAAGTTTCACTTTACCGAAAGTGGATTTTGAGCTCCGAACGGGCAAAATGAGTTTTCTCGAATTTTATCAAAAGAACACGTTAGTTAGGAAAACTAACTAGAGCATGTTTCATTTATCATTAAAGGTTATCGATTAGCCTAAAGTGTGCGAAATCAAATTTTGAACTTGTGCCGACCGTGAGAGGATATTTACGGAAAGCTGCTCTTAATATTGTCCTCTTTTGCGTATTTGCAGTTATTGTATACTAGTGGTTATTAACTGTTTCACGGGGCCAAGTAAAATTGCTCTAAAAGCCTGGTCACGAATATGCTTGGTCAGGGCCCGCGGAGATTGCACATGCTGGATCCACCACTAGAAGTTTACAGATCATGATATTACACTGTAGGTTCCTGTAAACCCTTTAATTTTGTCTAGTGTGTCATCGAAATGCGTCAGGGACCACATCATCAGCCGATATAATTCGTTTTAAGAAACCGTAGTTCCATCGTGGAGTAGTCTTCAGATTTAATCGAGAACCTTCATCAAAAAAGACTTCCGCATCGTTGCAAATGCTACACAGCCTTGCTGGTTTGAAAACGCAGAAGTCTAGGACTAAGTGCGGTTTTGTAAAGATAGGCGTTTTGAGGCTTACCACGCATCTGACTGGTGGGTCGATACGGACCAATAATAAATTTAGATGCTGGACGATTCTTATTCCAACAAAGATACTATTTAAATATATGAAAATGTATGTTACAGTGGAACCTCTATAAGGAAGTCCTCGGTCTAACAACTTTTTTTTACTCCAGTAATAGTAAAATATAAAGCAATACGAAAAAGAATCTCGATATAAGTTAACGAACCTTGTTTTAACGAACATATTTTGCCAGTTACTTGGCCCTTCCTTATATCGAAGTTCCAAGGTAATTAATTTTATTTATTTATTTATTTTTAAAATGCCTCTCCCGCTGCACGGACTCTTTTAATTATTGCAATCGGTGTTTTAGCAACAGGACGGGAACGTCAGTTGACGACGGGAAAGCGCGCGGGAAAAGACTAAACTCGACTTCCGGTGCTCAATTTGCCGCTCTGTTATTGGTCAAGCTAGTTGTTTGATTTGCGCGCGCCGTCGTCAACTGACGTTCCCGTTCTGTTGCTAAATCAGCCTATTTGTTAATCCATACCGAGTAAATTCGTCACTTTTTTGCCACTGAATTGGCTTCACATCTACATTTTATTATGTCGGTAAAGTCGACTAGACATCACACCAACTTGGTTGCTATATAAACAGGCAAAAATTAAAAAAACAAACAAACAAACAAACATAGATATGTTTATTTGAGCAAGGACGGAATATTTCGCAATCAATCATATGGAACACTTCCAAACCAAGCCTCAAACAGTCATGACCTCTTGCTAAACAAACTCAGTTACGTTTGAATAAAATACTGCAGACAATATATAAAACTGAATATATAGCACAATAAACACACCAATAGTCTGTTCACAACTTTCCTGTTTTCGCATTGTACATTAATGAGACGAACGCGACAAACCTTACGCTTCTCACA